TACCCGGTTTTTAATTATGGCCCAGCTTCTGCGATACCAAGGGAATCCCCTTGAAAGTCACGAAGTGGTCTCAGGAAGGATATGTGCACCATGTGTTTTGCCCTCACAGTTTGTCCCCAAAAACGGGTTGCAACACCAACGGTTTGCAGCCCAGCCCTTTGCAACTCCTTCATTCCTTTGGGCCCATTTAGCGTGAGCTTTTTCTTGGTAACGAGGGTTCCTCAAAACAGTTGTCCCAAACCAGCAGAACGGGCAGATCGAAAACAAGACATGCAGTTGGTGCAGCATGTCGCGTCAAACGCGAGCTCGTTTCTGTGCGCGACATGCTCGCGCACGTCTCGTGAATCCAGAACCAAGCACAAGGTGCATGGACCTCTGCGAAGCTTGCCAGATTCCAAGCCGAGACGCAGAAGCTCCCATCAAACAACTCGTTCTCCACCTGCAATCCACCGAGCTCTTGTTCATGCGAGGCTTCCGTGTTGAGTCGAGCGCCTTGCGGGAGGGCAGGCACGGAGTTGCGGCGCTTTGCAGAAGGCTTCTGGTGTCTTCCTGGCCAGGAACACCTACAAGGGCGGGGCATATATGCAAGTGGTGGCCCAGGGTCCAACCAAGATCACCCGGATCTTGAGACACAACACGTCGGGCGCCAGGCCAGGATCTGTTGGGGACGAGGGGGAACCCCATGGTTTTTGGACCTTCGTTGTGGACCTTCTCAGGAGTGGCGCTGAACAAGCACTTGAACACCATGGCTGGGAGCATTCCGGGAGGCAGGGGCTTCGCGGCTTCGCACGATCTGCGCCAAGTAGCGGTGGACTTACACTTTTCGTGTGGAGGGTCCTCCGATTTCCGTGCCTTGCCAGGTTTCGCAGAACAGCAGGCGATCTGTTCCCTGTTCGGACCATGTTCAAACCCCAGATTCTTACACAGTGGAGCAGCCAAAAGGGCATCAGGGGGTTCAAGTTCTGCCTGGTCTCATGGGGGTATAGTAGAACCAACTGCTTTGTCGTGGGGAGTTTGCCTGCCAGTTTTTTTGACCAATTTGGGGGAAACTGAAAGATTGAAGCCTTCTGGAAGCCCAATACAGGACTGTGAATGCTGGATGTTTGCAGTGATCGGTCGTGGTAGTTTTCGAGACAGCCCTGTCCAGGTTGAGTGCCCTTTGCTGGGAAGGGCGTGAAGCCCGGAAACGAACCGTCTGGGGGGCAGGTGGTCTTGTCCAGCTTGGGGAAAATGTGAGGTACCTGCGCATGGGATAGAAAAACCTGAGCCACCCATGTTTGCCAATGGCAAGCCTGCACGCTCATAAACCATGTTCCCAGCCAAGGATCCATAGCATGAGGCGCGCCCAGCGCGCAATTTTTCCGTCAAGAGCTTGGTTTGGTGTCGTCGCCTTCGTCAGCTCAGAAGGGCCGGTCCCGAAAGCCGGCGGCTTTGAGGTGTTTGGTACCAGCCAGCAAACTTGATATTGCCCGAAAGTTTTTACCCCGTCCCGGTCTCAGCGGCTTTTCCCCGTGTACGCTTCGGAGGGAGTCGAGGAGTGACACGCTTGGGCCATGGCGGAAGGTGAAGGCGATGTCAGTTTGGGTAGCGCCAGGCGGCATCTTGCCTCTTTCAATTCACTTTGTATTTTTTGTCCTCGCAACAGTTCGGTCTGCACGCAAGCACGCAAGTTTGGCAGGGACCGTCCCGACCTATTGTTTCGGACACCCACCCTTTCTTCCCACCCTTTCTTCCCGGGGTGCCCTTGTAGCTCGCCTTGGTGCGCTTTTTTGCTTAGGATGCGTCTGAGGGTCCCAGTTTTTGATGGGCATCTTTTGTGCAAGCTGTTTTCACAATGGCTAGCTGTTCCTTGTCAAAAATATCTAGCGAAGAAGACTTCCAGGTGGAGACATTCGCCACGGCCCTCTCAGGCCGATGCGGCGGATTGACCCCAAAAAAGAAAAAGAAAGAGCCAAGAGCGGCACAATTTGCCCACCGCTTGGCGGCCGAATGAGGTAGTTCCGGTATGAAGAACTGGGGGAAGACGAGGCCCCGGTGCATTGAAAAGCAGACTGACAGGAAAAGGCCCCTCCCTTCCGACAGCTCTTTGATCCAGAGCCGGGTGTCGAGTCTTGTCTTACATCTCTTCAGCGCTTCGTTAAAGCGCAGGAACAATGTCTTTCTTCACAGGTTTTACAGGCGCATCCGTTCTCTTGCTTCAATCAATGCCAGCAGAACGTTGAGTTTGCTTCTGGCCGGCAAATCGCCTGAACTTCCTGGCAAGGTGCTTGGTGGTCCTCCGAGTACGATGATGCCTTCTGCGACTATCTCAGAGGCGACCGAACGCACACTTAGTACGACGACGAAATCGACGCAAGTGTAGCGTCGCCCAAGACTCGCAAAGAAGTTTACGCGTTTGCTGGCAAACTCGTGGCGCCAATAGTCAGAACAGCTGATCGCCCAACGCTCGTTCAAGACTTGCCTTGCAGCAGCAAGGCGGGTTTGTTGGAAATGAAGGGCCCGGAGCTCGATCGGAGCCCAAAAACACCGATGCATGGATGGCGGCTATGCTGAAAGTTGCGTGATGACTAAGATGCTCGTGTACTCCACGTTTACTCTTGCAATTGGTGCTAATTCGCAAAAAGAGCACGGCCTTCCACGCCACATACGGGCATTGCCGGAACATCGTGGTTAGTGGAACAAGTTCAGTCCACTGCAAAGGCATGAACTTGTCCTATCACGGTCAGGGGCACGTTTCAAGGAAGCGCCCAGCATCAGGACTGGTAACACTGGAAGTCTTTACTTGGTGGCTCCCACCCATCCCCTTCGCTTTTTAGCCTTTTAGTGTTTAGTGGTAATTTCCGAATTTAACTCAATAAAAGTTAATCACTTCTAGCGGGGGATCAAAAAACGGGCAGCCCAGTTTACATGATTCCAACGATGCGCCAAGACCACCTCACACCGCCTGAAGGTCCATGCGGATCTTGGCCACGATGCTGTTACCTATCAAGAGGGAATCTTCTACATGGAGGGGCCTGCGTCCGTGAGCGTAATGGTCTGAGACAGGGCCTAAAAGGTAATGAGTGGGTTCTCCAAGTTGCACCCAAGTTGAATCTCTTAGCTACAAAGCGCAGAAGTGCAATAATTGGAGAAAGAACATAAGATCTCAGTGCTGAACCAAGAACATTCCAACAACGCCTTGGCGTCGGGCTTCTTCACGCGGGCTCGTATCAAAGCAAGGTAATCCGTATTTGGTGGAATCTGGCAAATGATGTCTCGGGTCTCAACGTACACTTCCCTCTTTAGAAAACACAGTTGCCAAATCCATCCTCAACCTATGCGCAGGTTTGTGTGTGTGTGTCGGTGTGCGCGCGTGAGTGCGATGATCGCTACGATAAGGAAGGTTGGAACTATTCGGCGAATGAGAACTGACAGCAAGCCAAAGGAAATCAGAGGTACTTCAAGGGAACACTCGCCATGAAGTGGAGAAGTACACGTCGAGCAAAAGTCCTCACGACGTCAACCAAGAAGTGACTCTTTTTGACCGCCGAACAAATCCAAGCGACCCAAGCTTCAACTCGGAACATCTACTTGCTCTCGCTCGGCGTGGGCGATCTTGAAAGATGTTCGCTGTATCCAGACAAGAAATAGGGCCTGTGGCAAGGACTCATTTGTTCTGGGCATTGATGTTTCCGAGTATGGTTCGGCAACGGCACGGATTAATATTGAAAGGTACCATCGATGAGATCCGCATTTGAATCAAGAAGAGACATTTCAAGCTTTCCTCTTCCTGCGCCTAACAATCTGGTTTCCGTCTTCAAGGTGATATAAGGAAGAGGCCGAGAAGAACCTCAAAATGTACCTGCATCAAGTGTATTCGCAGCTGTGTTCTACACACTGACGGCAGTAGCAATGAGCCATGTACTGACCGACCAGAGGTGCTCGAAAAGTTTCTTGTCGCTATTCGCCATGTGTTTTCCAGCAGGGCGTCCGTTCGCAACAGTTGCAGTTTGTCATGTGTATCATTACGAGTGCGCAGCATCCGCATCGTGCGAAGCACTTCAGAGTGATGCGCTCTGGGACGAGGTGCGCGTTACATGGTCGTGGACGTAACCACGGGACACCCCAAGAGACGGCAATAAAGGTTCAACGGAATCAGCTTCAAACTCCATCCGGCTCTGGGCCGAACCTGACAGGATGGTTCGCGTGAGACCGCCAGGCATGCGAGCCATCGCGGCAGGAGTCTTGATTCCGATGCACGGGGTTGGTGGGAAAGACCCCTCGGATAGAAAGCACTTCAAACAGGTTCAGCCCAATTTTGCGAAGGCGTCAAGGAAGGGTCCTGCGCCTGCGGACAGTGCTTCGCGACGCCTGCGGATGAGAGATCCTTGAATCCGAAGAAATGTCCGGATCGAGCGCCACCCAAGGATCTCGTGATCAGAGAGGACGCAAACACGTGAGCGACACTTACAACATGCTGATTTCTCTCGAATGATATTCCTTACCCATCAAACATGTTGGCTACATGCATGTAGTTTTACGTCCAGGCGCTATTGGCGCTGTGTGCCTAGCTTCATATTCGCCCCCACAGTTTCCACAGGAGTCCGAAGTGTGCGTGTCGACGTCAAGTAGCAAAGAGCCCAGCGCCTCTCACCAAACTGCACTCGCATGTCCGCCTATCGAGCCGGATGACCAATTCATATGCACGGCGCGTTCAAAAATCAATTCGGCGATGCTTGGAGTCCAAGGAAACCAAGCTGGGTCATCTATATCAGTGACATTCGATACTTGGAATAGGCCCGTGTTTTTTTCTTTGGCAGGGTGCTTGGGACCTTTTTCCTTGCGTGCCCCGCGAGCATATTCTCATCTTGCCCACATGTTCACAGCTAGGATCTCACTAGGACCTGGCTCAAAGGTCGGTCTTAATGACTTGTTGGACGTTGATTTAAAGTTGCATTTTTAATTTCTTGGCAGCCCCTGGGTCGCACATGTCGTTGTTGGGCTGCTAGCGTTTGGTTCCCAAGCCTTGATTCCAGCGAAGGGGCCAGGTTCTTTGGTCGGCAAACCAAGTCAAGTACACGGAACCCTTCTTACCTGCTATTCGGTTGGATCTTTAGACTTTAACTTTTTGAAACTTTTTGCAGGGGGGTCAACAGCAACCAAGCCTTTTGCAGGCTGGGATCCTTCTTCGGTGGACAAGCAAGCCACGCGGCCGCGATTGGCTTGGAGCTCGCTGGAATTGGACGAGTGCCAACAAAGGGATGGTTGTGAATCACAGTGATTTTTGGCTTGCTCTTCAAAATTGTGGGTGAGAGAAATCTCCCAAACAAATCGACTGCTCTCAAGTCCAGCATCCTTCATCCTGTACCTCTGATCTGGAGTTTGCTGGGGATTCGCAGACAAGCTCAGTTATGGGGCTCCAGAAACCCGTTTCGTTTTGCGAGGCCCGGGGCTGGGCAATCGCTTGGGCTGGAACAGTTCAGCTTCCTCAGATCGCACAGCGAGACAAGCCTTGCCTTGTTTCATCATCCGCATTTTGCCTTAGGAAAGAAGTTCTAGATCTGCGATTGGTCTTGCGTTGCTACCAAGCCACGCATGGGTTCAGCTTGAGATTCCGGTTGTCGCATGTTCTAATCTCCTTGACTTTGACCATTGGGGTCCCTTTTGAGAGGGATTGACGTGGATCCTGTTTTCCAATCACAAACCGTTTTTATTCGACCTCCGTCTATCTTTTGGTTTATGGGTCCAAAATCTTAAAACTTTAGGGCACTTTTGGGTGTCTCTTTCATTGCTTGCACGGTCACTTTTTGGGCGCGGACAGTTTTCTTCCATTTGCTGAAGCTTGGTTTCAAAGGGAGTTTATCTCTGGACACATCTGTTCATATTCAAGAACCTTGAGCCAATGGACGTTTTGGGGAGAGGGGTGTCAGCAGGCCTCTCAGGGGTTCATTTTTCCAAGATGTAAAAGGCTCAGTTGTTCAGTGGCTCCCTTTTTCACTTTTTGTTGGGTGGCTGCCCCACTAAAATGGTCCAAGCCCCAAAAATGGGCTCCCTATTTTTTCCAGGGTCACTGAACAGCTGAGAAGGGAAAGGTCCCGCACGGCCCCGGACCTCCCGCCCGAGGCGTTCGTCCTCCTGCCCGAGGAGCTCAGCGGGGCCGTGCAGGACATGTGCCACCAGGACCAGCGAAACTCAGGACGGGCGCGGTGGAGGGTGTGGCAAGGGGGGGAGGGCGGGGGGGGAAGGGGGGGAGGGAGGGGAGGGAGGAGGGGGGTTTCAGGGATATAGTGACATAGGTGTCAGTTTGGCTTGTTTTGCTGGGAAAAATAGAGGGCGATTTTCTGGTTTACCGTTTTGTGTCTTCTTTTTCTTCTTCTTTTTTCCTCATCTACTAGGGAAACCCATCTACTATTTCCTCTAAGGTCCTCTAAAAGGACACCTATGTTCAGGGAGCTACCCTTCTTGGAGTGTCGTTGTGAAAATCGGAGTTTGGAAGGGCGCCCAGTTTGGAAGTTCCTTCAGCAGCAGAAGCACACCCATTTGTTCCTATGGCGCTGACACTTCAGGAGCCATTGGCCCCAGGCTGTATGGTTTCAAAGGAAGACCAACAGTACGCCAACATTTGAAAGCCCAACAGGCCATCGCCATGCAGTTGCAGGTCACACGGTCACACTTTATTTTTTGCACTCCGTGAATGGATTGTCAGTTGACAGGCCATGCAGCTCAAGATCTAGGTCACTTCCTGCAAATGGATCGAAATACACCAGCAATTCACCTTTTAGTCCCTTTCAACGCAGTATTGCTACAAATTAATTCCCTAAAGCTAATGTTCTGACTTGCCTCCTTGCTTTCGATCCCAATATACACTTCCTCGAATTTGACGGCAAGTTGCCTTACTGGAATCCAGAGTGACTAAGAGAGCGAGGATGCTTTCGAATTTTAGGCCCCAAGCCGTGTCACGGGCCGACGTTTGTCGGCAGGCTGAGGGGCGTCCGGGGGAGGGACTGGGCCGCCCTCCCTTAAAGCCTTGTCGGTGTGTGGACCACCCCGTGACTCTTCGTTGTGTTCCATTGTGTTTTGTGGTTTCCTCAATCGTTTTTGTTTGGTGTGTGTTTTTTCGCACCAGCGTTGGCCCTTTCTGGGCGGCTTGGAAAATCTGGTAAGTCCCCCCCTACATCGACCAAGTGGGCTTTCGAATGTTCACCCTGGATTAATCAACCCGCCCTGCCCCTCCAATGTTGATGAGTCACCAAACCCCCCACCATTTTAATCTAAAACCAACAGTATAAAGGTCCGCGTGCTACAACCTCACAAACTCACGAGTCGCAGTTTTGGGCGCTTCAAATTTTTGGGGTCCGTTCTGCTCATTTTGGGGGTTGCCGCGAGCACGAAAAATCAGTTTTGCAGTGGTCCGGAGGGGGACGCGTGGGTATTTGGGTCTTTTGTTTTGCTACACATCTCGGGTTTGAAGCCAGTTGCATAGTTTGGAAGTTGTTGAGCTGGACAAGATCTGCTTTTGCCACTTCCATTCTTGGATTTGAACGTGACGCACGTCTTCCCGCTGAACAACCCAGCCCAAACAGAGAAGTTTTTTTTTTTTTAAACAAACGAACCTCCCTCCCACTAGCACGTGGCACGTGGCACGGGTAGGAGGGCGCCGACTGTCAGGTGCCACGTGGCCCAGAACCCTTTTGTTCCCTTCAAATGAAAGCTGCAAAGCAGCCCTCGCCTTGCTCCAAAGCGGATTTCAGCAGAGAAAAATGCCTCTCGCACAGGCCCAGGGCTGCACGAGATCGACACCACAGGCCTGGATTTGCTCATGGGCGGTGCAGACAGCTCCTCCTCGGAGGAGGAGGAGGACAGCCGGCGTGCTTTCGATTCAACTTGCAAAAGTTCCCCTTTGGGGGGATCCTCCATAGCTGTCCTTTGAAGGTTATGCCGGAAATCCATAGATGGTGGTGTAGGGTTTTTCAACCATAGGTGTCCCTTTCAGGTTATGGGTGGGCATAGATGGTGGTTTAGATTGGGTTCCCCCGTGTTTTTCAACCGTAGGTGTCCTTTTGATCAGTTCGTTTGGTTAGACATAGACGGTGCTGGAATTTCGTTTGATTTAGGGCCATCAATGTTTCCAAAAGGCCCACCTAACGCATGTTCCGTCCTTGTTTCCAGTTGAGTTGTAATTCGCCACCAGAATGCTTCCAACTGTGCATTGTTTAGCGCAGCACACTTTTTCCGTGTCGGCATTCTGCCCTCGCCTCCAGTTGCCGGAGCTCTCCCAACGCAGGCCTTACGTCGCCGACGGGGCAGAATGGCTGATCTGTTTTGCCTCCCAACTCGCATTCCCCAGAAATGAAGGCAGAGTGGTGCGGGAGCTCTTGAGAAGTCTGACCCAAAGTCCCAAAGTGTGGACCCACCCCTTCAAGGCAAGCTTTTCCTTCCAAAACCGGTGCTGTTGGACGAAATCTCTCACTAGTTAGGTGGTTTGTCACACTATTCATAGGGTGTCATCCCCAGCAAAGGGGATTTCGTTCCCGCAGCCCACTTGGTAAGTATGTTACCCGGTTTCCACAAGCTTAAAACTCTCCCCCTAGGGCTCAGTGGGGGCTTCCACTTCACCCCCTAAAAGTAAGACTTTTCGCAGGGGATCTCAGGTCTTCTTGATCCACATGATGATGGTTGTAGCTTGCCTAGCTTGTTTGAACTCCAGTTGTTTCGGTCCGTTTCGACTTGGTCTTCGCAGGACCGTCACGTTGAAGTCTACACTGACACGCATGAAGAGGCGGGTCACACATTCGAGGCTTTGCTCGGGGCCGGACTTGGACATCAAAGCTGGGGGTTTGAACGCATGGAGGTTCTACCCCCACTAGTCACTAGTTCCTAGGATCAGGGGCCGATTCTTTTTACTGGGGGGCCGAATCCAACCAATCTCGGCGAGCGACTCGGTTTTTCTTCTGGGCGAACTGCGGACCATTTCCAGGGGGTCCTTTCTTGCTGACAATCGGAACAGCAGGTCGCCAGGATTTTGGTTGAATCGGGCCGCGCCCTTTGTGGAGTCCTGTTTCGGGAAGATGTTGAATGACTCGGGGACATCAGTAGCAAGTACTGGTGCATTTTGCTTGGATGTTAGGACTTTAACTTTTTGCCAACTAATGGGTTTCCTTTAAACCACTAAAAGTTAAACTTTTAGCAGGGGAGCAGAAAGCAACCGAGTTAAGTTGTCTTTGATTCTTGAGGGAAAGCATGTAACAAGAAAGGATGCACTGTCAAAAGAACGTATTGTGTAAAGTGTATTGGCATTTGCGGTCATCAACCCTTCAGAATAAGATGACAACCGTTGCAAAGGAATACATACTTCTATATGTCTGAAATGATTCCCGCGGGAAGGATCACCCTTCCCACATTTACTTCTCACCATTGCACGGGGTTCCGTGCCAGATTTATTTTGCGGCATCTGGGGTTGCTACGGAATCATGTTCAAAGAGGTTTGCTGCTGAACCGTTCAATCTAATTTCTTACCCGTTGGATCATTTGGTACATGTTCAAGCTTTTTTTGCTACAGTCGCAGCCGGGCTTGCCAAACTCAGAATCCGGCCTTTTTTGAAGCTCAGGCCCAGTTCAGAGTTCTATCCAGATTCAGTGATCGTGGGATGCACAACAGGGAATTTGGGCCTAAGAAAGTCACGGCAATGCCAATGGCCAGAGTTTGTATTTTTACGCCAGAGCTTTCCAGGAGGTTCTTCGGCCTGTAGCAGGTTACCTTGGACCTTGCCGCTTCGTGCCAAGGACGGACAAAGAGGGCCCATAGCACCTTGATGGATGGCAGACACGTTGCTGGCGTCTCTGTGTTTTTTGGGGTTTACCTTTGTGCAGTTCTTCAACGGGACACCAAGGGGAAGAACCTCTTTAGGGTTCCCTATTTTAAGACATCCAAGTTGCAGATGTGGGGACATATTGAAGGCTCGGGCTCTTAAACAAAGCGTAAACACGTCAATGTCCCTGCTCAAGCCTAGCTTCTGCAAGTTCTGATGAGCAAGCTTAGCATCATGCCTCGCAATCTCTCGTGTCAGTTTCTGTTGCGCGCGATGTTGTGAATTGATGCTCTGTGAGTGGCGCCGTGCGTGGTGCTGCACGTGATGTTGCCCATGATGCTCTACAACGCCTCTTGTCCACTCTTTGTGCCCGTTTCTTTTGTCAACCTCTCTTGTCCAAATCAGTGCGCAGTTTGGCTGCGCAAGAAGGCTAGCTGTCTCAGCTACGGAAGGGTACTTCGCACACTACGTTTGCGCGCATAAGTCAAGATTTTCAAGCTGGAGATGCGGAAGTGCAACTGGGTGTTTCTTTTGCGCTTTACAGTTGCAATTTGCGAGCTGGAGATGATGGAGTGCACTCTCCGAACATTACTTCTGCGCTTAAAAGCTGTGATGTGCGAGCTGGGGCTGCGAGAGCGCGCTTCGCGCTCGACCTTTGCGTGTAGAAACTTAGGGATGTTTCAGCCGGAGCTGCGGGAGTGCATTCTGAACTTAAAAGTTGCGATTCTGGAGCCAGAGCCATGGGAGGCCACTTTGCAGGTTGCGGACCAAAAAGTTACCATTTGCGATCCGGAGCTGCGTGAGTGCTGATTCTTCGCGTGCTGCCCGCGTACTTGAAACTTGCGTTATTAGCCGGAACTGCGGGAATGCGTTTCGCGTGCTACTTTTGTACTCAAAACTTGCGATTTTTAATCCTGAGCTGCAATGCTCTGCGCGTGCTGGTTGCGTACTTGGGGCTTGCCTTTGTAGCCGGAACTGCGGGAATGCACTTTGCGTACTACTTTTGTACCCAAAACTTGCGACGTTGCAGCCAGAACTGCGGGAGCACAGTTTCCGCACTATACTTTTGGACTTGAGCATTGCTATTTCTTGAGCCAGAGCCATGGAAATGCACTTCGCATACTACTTTTGTACTTAAAACTTGCGAATTTCGAGCCAGAGCAGCGGGAGTGCTCTTCGTGTACTACTGTTGTATTTAGAAATGGCGAGTTTGCGAATTTCAAGACGGAGATGCGGGAGTGCACTTCGCGTACTACTTTTGTACGTAAAAATTGAGAGTTTCGAGCTGGATTTGCGAGAGCGCGCTTCGTGTACTACTTCTGTACTTAAAAACTGCGATTTTGCAGTCGGAGCTCTGGGAATGCTCTTCGCGTACTACTTTTGCATTTTAAACTTGCAGCCGGAGCTGCGGGAATGTACTTCGCGTACTACTTTTGTATTTATAAGTGCGAATTTCGAGCCGGAGCTGCAGGAGTGCGCTTCGCGTACTACTTTTGTTCGTCTGCGGGACTGCGCTTCGTGTGCTACTGTTGTACTCAAAACTACTTTTGCGCACAAGAAACGCTATTCGTGAACCAGAGCCACAGGAATGTACTTCGCGCACTACTGTTGTACTAGAAAATTACGATTTTCATTCCTGAGCTGCAATGCTCTTCGACGCGCGATTTCAGACGGAGCTGCGGGAACGCGCTTTGCGTAGTACTTTTGTACTCCAAGGTTGCCATTTTCCAGCCAGAGCTGCAGGAGCGCAGTTTCCGTACTTTACTTTTACTTAGGTACTTGGGAATTGCTCTTCTTGAGCCGGAGCTGGTGTGGACCAGGGGGGAATCGAGCCCGCGACGCGACGCCGTGATTGCAAAAGCAGGCGCGCAAACCACGAGACAACTTCCAAAGACCATTCGCGAGCAGCGAAAGAAAGCGCCGCAGCAAGAGCGCTCGACACGCACGATCCCCGCAGAGAAAAGCTCGCCGAGGTCAAGACAAATTCGCACGGCCCCCAGTGAGAGCTCTTCGAGACGCATGCACGATCTCCGCAGAGGGTTCGCCGAGGTCACAAGACAAATTCGCACGGCGCTATGAGCGCGCTTCGACACGCACGATCTCCGCAGGTTTGCACGGCGTCACAGCGAGAGCTCTTCGACACGCACGATCTCCGCAGAGGGGTTCGCCGAGACCAAGACAATTTCGCACGGCGCCACAGCGAGAGCGTTTCGACACGCACAATCTCCGCACAGGGTTCGCCGCGCTCAAGACAAATTCGCACGGCGCCACAGCGAGAGCGCTTCGACACGCACGATCTCCGCAGAGGGGTACGTTTCATAAGCTTCCGTCGGGACTACCCCCGCCAGAAAAAGAAGAAGAACTAAGAGTCGAGAAGTGAAACTACAAAAGAAAAGTTAGCTTGTGTTTTTAGGATTTTAGGATAGTGAAGTTTCACCCGAAAAGTTAGCTTGTGCTTTCAGGATAGTAAGATAACGCCCGACAAGTTGACATGAGAAGTTGGCTGGTGAAGTAGCTATCGAAAAGTTGCCATAAGTTGGCAGGTGCCATGACTGTTGAAAAAGTTGGCAGGTGAAGTTGACATGAGAAGTTAGCAGGTGAAACTCTCAAAAAGTTGGCATGAAAAGTTGGCAGGTGATTTAACTCTCGAGAAGTTGTCATGAGAAGTTGGCTGGTGAAATAACTCGTCGGCAAGTTGGCATGAGAAGTTGGCAGGTGAAGTTTGCCGGCTTTAGCAGAAGAACTGCTTCCGGGAAAAAAGCCAAAAGAAAGAAATGGCTTCCTTTCGGTGCCCTCGTTTTCGGAAAAAGCGAGCCTCGCACATCGATGAGCTTTTGGGGGAAATCCCGTGCTCGGATCGATCGAAACGTCAGGTGCTGTGCAGGAAGGCACGGAAGGGGCCAGACATGGACCAAGAGCACACGGAGAACAAGGCGGCGGCAACGACTGTTTGAGGGGGGCAGGGGGCATGATTTGTTTTGGCGGGGATGTTTAACATGTTTAAGTGGTTGAAAACTGAAAGGAACACCCTTACAATGGGTAGCCCCATTTTCACATACCTTTTTGTTTTGAGGAGGGGATGTCAAAAAAGTCAAGGGGGTTCGCCCTTCGGCATTTCGGGTTTTGAAGGTGCTTGCCCAGGCTAATGGACCGTAGACCGAGGTCAAAAACGTTTGTTTAGCCGCGCCCACGGTACGAGCTGCGATGTTGAGAGGTGAGTCGAGTTTTTGAGTATTGACCTTTGCTGCTCAGTGGATTCCACCCTTGTTTCAACTTTATCTTGGGGGAAGGTTCCTCTTTTAATTTCAACCCACAGAAAATGGATGCCCATGTTTTCCATGGAAATCCACTGGGCATCTAAGTGACCCCTAAGCTCCCAAAAGTCCCGCAACGGCAATGCCCATTTGGCTCCAAGACGGATTTCGCCCGCCCTCCAATGTGCAGAAGAGCTTCGGTTTGCCCCCCCCTCTCCCCCCCTCCCCTCCTCCCCCCCAGCCCCCCAAGACCCCCTCCCCCCCGTTCCCCTGTGTCTTTGCCTTTTGATTGCTGTTGGACATATCTCACCAAGCTGAACTAGGCGTTAGAGCTTTTTCAGGAATGTAGGACGCATCCCACTGGAAGCGGACAGCTTCGAGCAACGAAATAAGCCAAACACCTGCATGGGGAGGGGAGGGGAGATGGGTTTCTGGAAATGGTCCCCTACGCTTGTTTTTTTTTGCGCCTTCAAACACCAACCAGGGGGTAAGCGCCAAAAGCGGTTGCTGGCTTCCTCACTTTGCACCAAAGTTCATTGTGTAGATTCTCAATGATCATGTTTATGATTACTGTAGCCTCTTCACCATTGCTGATGCAGTTCAATCGCTGTTGGTCTTTCACCGAAGAGGTTCGCCAATTTGCCGATTCGATTTGTTTCCCAACCGAAGGTTGAGATGCCTGACTTCCTGCAGCGGCTGCATCGGCTGGCGCATGACGCAGACGAGGAGGTGGATAGCCCCACGGCTTGGTGTCCGTTTTCAGAAGGAACCAACGGGCAAGAAATGGGTCTCAATTCGCACTGATCCGGATGACTGGGGAACACACCCCTGAACAGTTTGTAACGTTCACCAAGTTACGACTTGCAAATGGCCTAGACAAAATGGCTCGAGCTTCAACCCAAGCCCCAACATGCTGGGTTGACGGGGAGTGAGGCGCCGGCAAACTTCGGTGTTTTAGGGTTTCCACATAACTTGTGTTTTGGAAGGAGTCTCAAATTTGGTCTGGCTTGAGCAGGTGGCTGGCATCAGGCGGTTGCAAACCCAACAGGTTTGCTTGCTTTCGGTTGAGGGTTTGGGTCTGTTCGGTTTTGCTGAGCGGACACATGTTGCCTTGCCGTTTGTACTCCTTCGCCTGAACTTTTTCATCATCCGCAGAGTGCAGTCTTCAGGAGTTCCGGCAGGTAGATTCAACTTCTCTTGAGTTCCCTCCGTAGCTTTCCGATTGGAACCTCTTTTTTGCCTGACTCTCTGAAGTCTTCTTGCTTGTTTCCCAGTTGCCCAGTGGTGCCCCTTTTTCCATTTTTTTTGGGGGGAAGGGCTCCTGTTTAAAGTCAACCAGCCAAAAAAGGATCATGGAAATCCACTGGGCATCTGAGTTAGAGTTGCTTTTTCCTTGTAGTCCGCAGACTTCTGCCTCAAGTCTTCCGCAGCTTTGGTCCGGTCTGACGCAGACACGAGCTTTGCCCCACCCTCAATCCGTATGGAGTTTTCTGGATTTTATGGCATCCTTTGCGTTGGTTGACGGCCAATCAGCACCTACGAGTACCCGTCTTTTTTGTCGGGGCCCCCTAAGAGGTGCTACGGATGGAGCCACTTTGACTTTGAATCTTGATCAATACTGAGTTGGGTCATTCCAACATCTGTGTTGATTGTCGGTAGGTTTCACAGTGTGCTGGGAAACGACGCCTCGCGCAATGGGACTTAGTAGCCTGCTTGTTGGCCTTCTCTGAAGGCCGTGGCAAGGATGGCTGTGACTTTCCTGCCACTCCTAACGGGTGTATTGTTTTGAAGGGACCCAAAAAATGGTCAACCCTAAAAGGTTGTTTTTGCAGGGACCCCAAATGGTGGCAATGCTTTTGGTTTTCCTTGAAAATCAGAAAACCCAAGCCAAGACAGCGGTCTACTAAAACCTTTGACATGGGCCTGACTAGAAACAGCTCGGCTCTTTCCAAGTTGCTAGATAGAAACCGCGAAGGAGACATGTGCTTCCATTTGCTTCAGAACACATACTTATTTTCCCCCTTGGTTTATTTAGTGAAGAACTTTTCCAGGACTTGATGGTATGTTCAACAAGGACATTCCTTATCAGGATGCGCCCATCCCTCTTTTTTGATGCGCTGTGCTTGCGGCGAGCCTCATCGCATGTTTGAATCGCAGGACATGGTGAGGTCAGGCATCTACCTTTGTTTTGGTTTGAGGAAACGCGTAGATTGTTGCGGGATAGATATCTGTCATTTGACTTTTTTGTTGGTGGGCCTTTGTGGTGCTTTTGTTTCACGCGGGAAACGGCCAGAAACCAGTTGACCGGGGCATTTTCGGCCATGAAAGGAAAGATGCGGTTGCTGGCGTACGAGATCCGAGCGGTGAAGTGGCCTCCGAACGCCGCCGACTCGTGGAAAGAGGTGAAGTCCTTTGCAGAGAAGGCGAGTCGCTAGCGACTGAGTCTACATGGAGCAATACGTCTCAGGTCGCCGAAGAGAAGAGTTGCACAGACCAAGTTGCACAAACTTGCACAGAGCGAGTTGCATAGCAGCAATTGCGCAGACCACCTTGCACAGAGCCGTTTGCAAAGAGTCAGTTCAGTTGCACACAGTCACTTACGCAGACCAAGCTGCGCCCTTTTTTTTCTGCTCAGACGTACAGTTTGTGCCGGATTCTTCAATTTCTGCCCGAGCAATAAACAAGTGCCCGAGGTTTATATTAACCAGGCTCCCGCCTGCTGCCGCCGACCCTCGGCGCATTAAGGGAAAAGTCACAAGGACCGGTCCTGAAACACGTCCGCAAACCCAGGGACCACTTATAAGATCCTCTACGGCCACAAACAAGGATTAACGGAAAAGTCAGAAATAGGGCAGCTAGTCCGTTAATTACCGCTTGGGCCGGCTTGCGCCCAAGTCACTTCGAGTTGGCCGGGAGCAGTCCGGGGTCGCCCTGAAACTGGCCCTCCCGAAGTTGCCCTGGACCGGTCGCCGGCAGGGACCGGGACTTGGGACCCGATGGGATCCTCTACTACCACAAGGACGTCAACAACCGCACGGGCCGGTTTGGTCGCAGGGTCATTGCCAGTCCGGAAAGGTGTCTGGAGCGGTTTGCAGCACAGCAGTTTGAATTGGGACCCAAGACCAGCGGTCACACCAGGACTCGATCCCGGACCGGCTTCCAGGACTGGTCCCAGGACTGGTCCCAGGACCGGTCCCGGGACCGGTCCCGGGACCGGTCCTGGGAACCGGTCCTGGGAATCTTTTTGTGGGTTCGGGCGTTTTTTTGCAGGGACTATCATTGATTCCAATCACTTCCAGTTGCATCCCACGCCGGTCCCCTCTGCAGGAGGCTGGGACGGGAGGCAGAGGGTCGGCGGATTTTCAATCGAGCGCTTTTCAAATTTGCGCTCGTTTGTGGGTTTTTGCGCTCGTTTTGCGGGCCGTTGCGCGCGTTGTTGCGCACAATTTCTGCTCGAGTAGGTCATGTTAGGATGCCTCCAAAAATCGCTCGAGGTCCAAAAAAGAGGGCAGCCAAGAAAAGGATGCACGAATTCCCAAAGCCAGCCGATTGACAGGGGAGGCAGAAATTTCAGGTACGCTCGAAGGTCCAGGTGGGTTTGGGTAAAATTAACTCTGCAGGGGAGCGTAGGTTTTTAGTCCATGTGTCCATGTACCAGGTTTCCATTTTGGGGTACCTATTTTTGACCCACAGCCAAGTGAACTTTCTATAGAGAAGATTCTTGCCGCGCGTGAGACAGCTTGCTAACACGATTCTTCTTTTAACAGCATCCCCGCCTCACGAGATTGTGGCCCTCTGCGGGGATCGGCGTGGTTGATGTCAAAAAACTGTAAACTTTTTATACGATTTTTGCGGTTCCCGCGCAACACTCTGCGCGGATTGGTTTGGTCCATGTCAAAAAACTGAGGGCCTTTTATGATTCTGCGGTGGCCGGAGCAACCTTTTGCGGGGATCGGCGTGGTCAACGTCGAGAAACTGAACAGTTCTTACGATTCTGCGGTGAGCGGACCTCTGCAGGGATCGCTTGTCGAATCTCTCTCGCTGTAGTCCCGTGCGAATTTTGCTGCTGGCGAGCTGGTCCTTGCACGTCATGTAATTACTTGATTCCCGCTTGCTTCGCAGGAAGACCGTCAATCGCAACCTCTATGTACAAAAGTGCTACGCGAAGCGCGTTCCCGCGGAAAATCGAAAACTTGCAGAACAAACTTACACGGAGCACTCGTGGAGAGAGACGTTTGGACTGACGCAGATGAACTTGCGCAGAGCGCTCGCGTAAAGATATTTGCGTAGAGTAACTTGCGCAGAGCAACGCGCGCTGATCTATCGGTGCAGAGCAACTTGCATAGGGCCGTTGCACTGTCCACTTGCGCAGAGCATCTGGCGCAGATATTTGCACAGACATGCGCAGAGCACTTGCACAGAGTACCTGCGCTGAGCAACTGTCGCAAGGCACATCTTGCACACAGAGATTGCCAGGGTATAAGTGTATATATAGTGTTGAAATAATATCAACAACAGCAGCAGCAGCAGCAACAGCCACAGCAACAGCAACAGCAACAGCAGCACCACCACCAACGGCAACCAAACACAACCGGCAACAACCAACAACAAGTAACTAACAACAACCAACAAAAACCAACAAAACCAACAAAACCAACAAAACCAACAAAACAACCACCAACACCAACAACAAGAGCAGCAGCAGCAGCAAGAGCAGCAGCATCAGCAGCAACAACAACAACAACAACAACAACAACAACAGCAGCAGCAGCAGCAGCAAGAACAAGAACAAGAACAAGAACAAGAACAAGAACAAGAACAAGAACACGAACAAGAACAAGAACAGGAACAGGAACAGGAACAGGAACAGGAACAAGAACAAGAACAAGAACAAGAACAAGAGCAAGAGCAAGAACAAGAACAAGAACCAGAACCAGAACCAGAACCAGAACCAGAACAAGAAGAAGAATAACAAGAACAAGAACAAGAACAAGAACAAGAACAAGAACACCAACACCAACACCAACACCAACACCAACACCAACACCAACACCAACGCCAACAACAACACCAACTCCAACACCAACACCAACACCAACACCAACGCCAACAACAACACCAACACCAACACCAACACCAACACCAACACCAACAACAACAACAACAACAACAACAACAACAACAACAACAACAACAACAACAACAACAACAACAACAACAACAACAACAAAAACAACAAAAACAACAACAACAAC